AATGTGGGTTCGAAATCAAGACTGTATAAGAAAGGGTTAGCATATATTTAAATACTGCAGTGGAGCACAGAGCCACTTGAATAGCTGACTTACTTTCTACCCTTACCGTTGCCATTCAATCACGGCAGAGATAAATAGAAAGAGAGAGAGAGAGAGAGAGAGAGAGAGAGAGAGAGAGAGAGAGAGGGAAGAGTCAGTTCATTCAATTTCAGTAATATACAACTATGTTTAGATTATCGTTTGCATTAAATATGAGTTCCTTGAATTGCTTAAATGGAACACCGTCTTGAATTAAATGTAAAGCGGCGCAACATTTGTATCTGGATTGATGAACAAAGCGATGAAGATGCCGGTTGGCTGTGCCACAGACATCAAACACCCAAGCTCATTACAAAGGTAAACATTTTAATTTTGTGCACACATTTGCACAGCCATCGTTCGCCTTAAGAAAAGGACACGGCACTCTCGAAGCCAGGATGTCGCCCTGTCCACAGAGAAGCCCTGCCACACAGCTATCCCATTGAAGTTTAGCAAACTTTCAATTGAATTGCAACAAAGTTTCGCAACGCTATGTCAAATGCTGTACAAATTTAATTAAAAATTTCTATCACCTAACATAAATAATAGAAGAAAATAATGAAAAAATTTTGTATTTGCTGTCGAGATGAGCATGTTGATTCTTTAATTAATTTTTTTGTATATTTTTTAATTTTGCATATTGCTTAAAAGCTATACCTATATGTATTTCAAGTCAAATTGTCTGATTACATATTTATAATTTCATTTATATTTACATATGCATTTTATTTGTATAGTTTACATTTATGTTTTTGTCATCATTTATACATTTTATGTACAATGTTTCACCAATTTCAGTGGTAAGTCGTGCTGTCCTTCGTTTGCTCCAGACAGCACATCCTTTGCCGCTTGCGGTGGCGTTGAAATGAGATTTTGCGTTATCAAGTATGCGCCGTGTGTGCCCAGCCTAGCCTGCCTAGCCGCACGCTCAGTCTCCGAAAAGGTGTTCATGCATATTTAAAAACTTTACGTGGTGTGAAGTGGGCCTTGTTTGTTGTGTTGGCCACAAATCCATTCTGAAATTGGCCACCTTGCTCTTTGCATCTGCCGACTGCGAGATCTAGAAGGGGCAACAACAACAACAACAACAATGACAACTTCAACAACAACAAGTCGAGTGTAAAACTTTTTCTGGTGCTATGGACACCTCCCCGTCCAAAATTTGACTGCCGTCTGGGCCTGAGTGTCTCATGTGCCTGGCACATGGTCACATAAGGGACCCATGTCAAAATTTAACGTGGTTCTTTTTTGTGGCGGGTCAACTTTTCATATATGCCAAATAGCTGACCGCAGCTTTTTGTTGTCATTGTTGCTGCTACTGTTGTTATTGTTGTTGCTTGAATGGCTGTAGAAGATGTCGAGGCGCTTGTGTGTGATGTTACAGTTAATTGATTTGCCCAGCCAACAACTGTGCAGACGCATATTAAGCTGGCATTAGGCATAAACTACGCTCAAATGAATGGCAGATAATATTTAAATATAGCTGGCATATGCGTGAATATACACTCATTCAGAGTTCAATTCCATTGAATTGATTTTAAACCATACACAATATATGGCTTAGCACTAAAAATAAACTTTTATTTCATTTTCATATTTATAAATCCTTTTATTTAATCGACCAACTTTGATTGTCAATAAATTGTTTTATCTCTCACAGAAATCGTATTAAATTTGCCTTTAGCTAAAATCTGAAATGGATTTCCTTTTAGTTATATAAATTATTAATTACTTTTGCAGTGTAAACATTTTTGTTTTTTCTTATTTCTCGTTTTTGTCTAATTGAATTTGTTTCATATGCCAAAATGTTTTTAATTGAGTTTTTAAAATACTTCACACACAATCATGTTAACACAAATGCAATTTACTTAAAATTGTTTATTTTTCGAATATATGGGAATGTTTTTTTTTTTTTTGCTGGCCTGTTTACTATCGGCTCAATTATTTACTTTTATTTTGGTCCATTAAATAAGGTTGCCCCAAAAAGTAGGCAACAGAAATTGAAAAACGCCGCGTTGCAGATGTAAAACCAAATGGAACGTGTCGGGTGGGCCTAATTGCTGGACAGGCTCTAATAGCATGTCAAACACACACACATACACGCTACATACGCTAAATACAGTCACACACACACACACACACACACATCTGCATTCGCTGCCTAATAACAGGCAGCGGCAAATTTTGGTTAGCTTGCTTCCGCACATGAAACGGCGCTGCTCTCTTTAGTATATAGTGTGTGCTAAAATTCGAGATGACTGCACATGCATACATGCACATCCTATTTGGCCCTCCATTTTGGACACGTTGTGCCTCACATATGTTAATTAACACTGCGGTCACGTTCACAGCATTTGGGCCTGATTAAAACCAGCCGAAATAAGTTCAAAGCCTCTAATAGTGGCCTGCTACAACCGTAGCGTTTCGCTCACTTGAAAGATGTGCTGTATGATGAGTTACTCTGATATATATTTAATCATATACTATATAGTTGCTGCTTGCTGAGCTGTTGGCTGTTGGCTTCTAAATTGTTCTTACTTTTCTATTTACTCGAATGAATGTTAAATACCCTTTGTTTGCTGATGTTTTAATGCCATATACTCATTAAATATGCCTAGAATGGGGTATATTGCAGTTGTCCAAAAGATGACATGTACTAAATATAATAAACTGGAATATACCGATTCTAAGATTAATTGGTCAACTGACTTAAAGATGAAATTCATATATATATGTTAGACTATATTAAATAATGCTGTATTAAGTTACATTAGATAAATATCAATTTATAAATAGTTGCTGGAAAAGTAGAAACAAAAAGACTCTCTATCTGAATTTTAATGATCTACAGAGTATTTGCTAGTGTTGCTGTCCACTTTGGCTCAGATTGCTGCTGTTAGCGGGCGAAAATAAATTATTTAAATTAGTTCTAGGTTTGCATTGAAAAGGGTTTGATTTGTGGGCAATGGACGGTGAGCGGGGGTACGTGGGCGATGGACATAGGTCGGTTGGATGCTGCCTGCACAGCGGTTACAGTTAACCGGTATTCTGGTTAACCGAAGACGGGTTTCCATTTGCGGTCGGCATGACCAAATATGCACGTGCCTAACAGTGTGTGTGTGACTCGGTGTGTGTATGTGTATGTGCCGGTGAGTGGGGCTGTACCTATGGCTTAATTAAACTGCAAGAACTTGAATGGCTTTTGAATTTCTATTAAAATAAATAGAAAATTTCGAAATAAAAATTTAATGCAATTAAAAAAGTTGAAAACGTAAAAAGTGCTTTCCATTTGAAATTCATTTTAATTTAATTTTTTTATTATTATGAAATGGAGATTGAAATTTATGCGTAGTTTATTTAATTTTCACTGCTGCTGCGATGGTAAAAATATTTAATTCAAATTAAAAAAATTTTATTGATAACATTTTTACTTTTTACGTTATACGAATCAAATGTTAATAAAAATAAACGTATTAAAAATAATTTGCCATGTATATTCTAGTTGAAATTTGATTTGGCAACGGAAATGCAGCATGTGGTTTATTCATGGCGGCATTTAAATTCCTGTTGCGATAAGCCTCGAAATGGGGTAAACCGAGCAGCGAGCGATAGATGGAGAGAGAGAGAGAGAGAGAGAGAGAGAGAGACAGCGTGCAGCGAAAGGGATAGAAGAGGTCATGTGTTCAGCAGGCTTAAATCCCAACTTCGGACTTCAATTTGGCCGCAGAGCTTACGGCTAATGGAAAAGTCCTCTAGCAAACCTGACCACAAGCCACTCCAGCAGATGAGCTTAAACAGAAAAACAAAAACCAATGGCGCTCTAACCTGTGGTGTCCAGCACCATGGAGGCGTGCAGGCGTGCCCCAAAAATTGCAATTAATGTCCAGGACTCTGTTCAACTGGCAGCGGTTCCAGCTGACCGGCTAAAGTGTTTTCATGTGTAAGAAAGGCGAAAGGCTGAATGTGTACTAAATTGCATGCAAAGTGTTTGCCTGCCGGCAAGTTGGTTACTGGCTCATCTCCTGTGTCCCGTGTCCCGTGTCCCGTGTCTTGTGCCCCGAGCCTTGAGCCCTGAGCACTGTCCAGCCCAGTGTTAGCCAGAAATGAGCAACAGTTCGTTTTGGGCCGGAAAGCAGCTTTCCAGCGTGGGCTGTCCAATTGAAGCTGACGCAGGCGCAATCACAAACAGTAATAAAAGGTTAGGGCTTGGGTTGGGAGTTACACGAAGACAGTAGGCAAAGGAGTAGATTTAGTAGTAAATCGTAATTGTAGTAGAGATTGCAGTCTCAGCTAAAGTGTTGTGGAAGCTGTTGACAAATAATAAATATTCCATATTGTATATATCCAATATAAGCATATGGTTAAATAAACAAAAATACATTTTTTATGTAAATAATATATAAATCCAAGAACTCTTTTTTTTACAAATGTGCAATGCAATAATTAACGTATTCAATATATATTCATGAAGTATAAATACAATTCCATAATTATATATAATTAATTAAAGATCTAAAAAAATAAATAAAAATAAATTAAGACACTTATCTTTGCTACTGTCTACTACTATTTCTACTACTTACTGAAATTTGCTCACATTTTCATTGAAATGTTTTGTAGTACTTGGCGCTGTTTTCCTTGAGCCCCAGCACCCCTCACCCACAGCGCGCTGGGGCCCAACAGCTGTTGGGACAGCAGCTGGCAGCTGACTGTGTTATCAGTCCCCTTGGAGCACCCACCCCGCCAGGTGGCAACACCTGCCCACTGGAAAAAGGTTGCAACTGGAAGCCGCTAGGCGCCATTTGCCTTCGTGCTTATCGCCATCGTCGCGTCGTCGTTTCGTCCGTTGTCGGCTGACAGCTTCGGCTCGGCTAATGTGTTCTGTCTGTTCTTGTCGCAACAGCTTGGGCCGCATTTCATTTTCAGCTGGCGCCGCATATTCAGTTCCTGGTCGGCGTTGCACGTTAACGGTACCAAGCGGAGCGCAGCCAACGCTGCACCGAACCGAACCGTATCAAGTCGAATCGAGTCAACCAACAAGTGACGTGTTATTTCTTTTCGAAACCGAAAGTGTTAACAGCACCAATTTAGGCGCGCGTTAATTCAAACAGATATTCAACCAAATACAGAAAATAAAAAAGCGGAAAAACAAAACAAAACAAAAGCAAAAACAAAATCAAAATTAAAGCTCAACATTTGATTACTTAAGGAGTCTTATTGGCCATTTGCATGCGCGACACCTGCGCTGATTGATATTCATTATTTAATTCAAGTCTTGCAAAAGGTAATGCCAAATAAGTTTCCATCAAAGTGTTGTAGGTAATTACTTTAAAGTATCCCATAATTTGGGACTGTTTAATGACATTTGAGAAATATTTTACTAAATGTGTGATTATATACAAAGTGTTGAGTTGCTATTCAAATTAATTCTATTTGTCAACAATCTACCTATCGAAGCCGTTTATATTGTTGATCAGCTGTTGAATATGGAGAGCTTCATAAAGAATATATAGTACCATTTCGAGGCTCTTACGATATAGCTGCAGTCAATCGATCAATTCAAATTGATTCAAATTGAGATATTATATAAATAGCTAAGAATTAGACTTAGTAATTGGTGTATAATATTTATCATTCTCTTAACTTTACTTTATGAATGTATCTCTATATTATATGAGTATACTCTTTGACCGAGTGATGATCTGTCAGTAATGATATGCGTTCGCGTGTCTGTTGGTATGAAAGGCAAGTCTGTTTCCTATACTAAATCTAGAAACGAAAGAGTCGAAATATTGATTCTTATCTAACCCAGCCTTACATAGCTTTAATATTCATTAAATTTACCATATAAATAGTAGAAATAATATAGTTTTTAAGGCAGCATACTTAGCTGGAGACTTACAGTATGGTAGTAGTAGTAACTAATGGAGTGTACATGGAAAATCATATAGATCTGCCCTGTGAATTGCAGTTGTTCATCTAATTCATCTATTGTAACATGGAGATACTGAATGATCTAGAGATCATTTTAATAACTTTTAACTATATTGAAACCAAAGAGCTCAAAGTTTTAAGCCACTGATTTTGCAATTCATTTAAAACTTGATTCATATAAAATACAGCTGTAATAACTAAATAACTTAAAAGACCTTTATCCCTCTATAGATTCTGGCATAGTTCTATACAGAGCTATATTATGTTTCCATTAGCAAGTTCAACTGCCGTCAATTGACTGTGTAAGATTTAGTATTTCGTTACAATAATTGCAGCCTGCGGCAACTTTGTTTCACACACAAACAAACTCATTTCTTGTAGTTTGCTTGCCTAAAGAGCTTGCCCCATAAGGCAGGCCTCATTTTGACTTGTTCTGAATTGGGTAGCTGCAAAGGCAAAACTGTTTTCATGGCTCCTCCCACAGCTGTGTCACGAGTGCATCCTTAAGCGCACAATGCCGTGCCAGGAACTGCAGCAATAGCAATAACAACAACAATACATAACAAATAACCATTAAAATGCAGGCAACCTTAAGCCAAAAGAAAGAAAAAAAGAACAGGAAAAGTACGTTGAAAATGTTGTTATTCGTATGCGGAACGCTGCATACTCTTACAATATAGAACCAATTTTTGAAATCTATTATTATCAGATTTATATAGAAATTAGATTTTGTTATTTTGACAGAATCTAAAAGACTTTTAATATTGCATTGCATTCAATAAATATAAAGCTTAAAATCTACACTGACAATGAATACTGATCAAGAGATATAGCGAGAAAGAGAGGGAGGCATAGAGACAGCAGAGAGAGTTATTTTATGTGGTAATTTCTTACGTCGTGCATTCCTTGACAACGTTTTAAGAGCTATCATAAAAAAGTGTATAATAAAACCGAAAAAACAACAATAATAAGAATGGCTGAAATAGCAGGAAATTCATTTTCCCGCGACAACGAAAGCGATTTCAGGTCTTTGACTGTAATTAAGCTTGGGATTGGTATTTCGTGGACACTCCTCAAGGTGGCCATCCTGGCCAGCCCGGCACTTGGTAAATGCACTTTCGGACTCTTTGGACTATTGTTTTAAAATGGGACACGCAGTGGCAGCTTCCACACTGACAGTGCCCCAGCAATAGCCACAGCCAGTGCTGCGTCTTTGCTGCTGTCTCTGGCTTATCTTCGTTGCAATCTTTGGCTTTGTTCCGTTCGCGTTTGTGGGCAATTTGTATTTCAATGGCTTCAGTAAGTGAGTTGAAAGTTTGCTTTAATTTTTTGCAAATTTTTAGATGGAATCCATTATTTGTTGGAGTAGTTTTGAGTATTGTTCCACAAGAGCTCTTCTCTGCGCTTCTCACGTGCAGCATTTTCATTTGAATGCTGTGCCATGAGTCGACTTTAATTTGTGAGCCCTTTACACATTGTCATCAATAAAATGCAGCCTCATTTCTAGTCATTTCTGACCTTTCCTCGTCGAGTTACTTCACGATTTGCACATCCGTTGGGCATTGTTGTCCCGACAACGCTGGCACGCTGGGTTATCCTTTGCTCTAATGGCAGGGCAAACCGTTGGGCTCCAATTAAAAATGAGGACCATAAAACGTGAAAATGCCTCGGAAATTTCTACCGCAACGACAGGAATGACCATTGCTCAATTTACAAGGCACAAACGAAATGAACAGCGTCATGCGGATGCGGACAACTTTCAGCTGTCAACCTGCAATGCCCCGCCTCCCCATTAACTGCTCACGTCACGTCTTGCCCTTACACGCAGAGAAAAGTCTAGTTTAGTTATCTTAATTATTTATTAGGTGAACCTTTTTAGATTGAACATTTCCATTCTCCATGATTCTAATTTAGTAAATCCTAGAATGTTGTACTACATCAAATAGTCTTTCTTTAAGCTCAGTGTACATTTTTTTTTAGCGCGCATTGATTCTCCTTTACGCTTTGCTTTCGGTATTTAGTTATTAAGCGCACAGTTTTTAATTAAATTTTCGCTTGAATTAGCCGCATTTCAGTCACGTGTTAATAATAACAATCAAACGTCCAAAGCCGAAGCACCGAAAAACGCCCGCTAGTTCCTGCTATGCACCCCCGATTTCAAAGCGGACTGATGACGGGGCCGTGACGTAAAGTCCCTCGGTGATAAATAGAAACTTACTACGCCCAATTGGTTTTGGCTACGTTTAAGAGATTTACGACAAGCGCCTGCTCTGACACCTGATTATAATTATGCCCTTGCCGCGTTGATTAGGCTAGGGTATGCAGCGCCATCGAATAGGTTTTTTAGCTATATTTCACTTGGCTAAATTGAAAATGAAAGTGAAATGAGACTTGTTGATTTTTATATTCCCTTGCTCAGACTCAAACTGATTTCGTTGCTTAACATCTTATTTCAAAGGTTTTTATATTAAATTATATTTCATGTAATATTCACATAAACAATACACACATAAACATTTTGTATTTATTACAATTTATTTAAATATTCAGCGAATTTCAATGCTTCAAGTTTGTTAAGGTATATTCAAGTCGAATCGCAGCTAGAAAACTTTTGTGTTTGACGTTGTTTGCTTGTTGTTTATTAATGCTAAACAACTAAACCTGTTGCTGATAAGCCTCGTATTTGTGTAGCTGCTATATGCATATGTATCAATCTATATGTACATACATATATGCCTCTTGCGTATTCTAATTATTGAGCCGACAAAGCGTAATTGTTGCCTAATCCCCAATAATAATATTAAAATCGATTCAAGCAGTTCACTCTCAGCTACACCGAAATGAATTTCGGAGTCTTTAAGCTTTGGAGTGTGCACACACGCCGAAATATGTATGTAAGCAGGCAGAGTCGACAGCAGCTGCCACGCCCACACACAACATTTCGCCCATCCGCTTACTTAGACTATAAAATACCCATGTGTAAAAGTCGCGCATATTTCTGCTAGTTAGGTATTTTGCTTCCATTTTATTCCCATACATTTTACAGCGTTTGCGGCATGCTGTAGCGCTGCCACTGCCACGCCCCACTCCAGCGGGGGGGCAGATAGGGACAGGAATGGGTATGGGTATGGGGATGGGCATGCAGATGGGTTCCGACAGTGGCAAGCCGAAAATAAGAAAAATCTGTCAACGGCACTTTTCACTTTCCGCTGCCAGTGAACAGGGGGCCCGTTGTGAGCGGGGGAGGAGGCAGTCCTCCCGCCTCGTGCCCATCCTCAAAGTGTGCCAAAGCGCGCGTAAATTGATTTAAACACGGCAGCACGTTGAGTCTGGTCTTGGCTGCAGCTTACGGCATGTGCGCCTCGATGTGCTGCAGCATAGATATCGTGCGCAAGCACTTAACTTGCCTCACAAAACTGCTGAAACAAAAATGAAATGTAAAGCGTGGAAGCAGCTCACGGCGAGAGGGCGATCTAAGAGATACTCCAGACAAGACATAGACATAAATTTCAGGACTAGACATTGTTCAAGACATTGTTTTGTGAGTAACTTCCTTATAATTATTCTTTATACATGGATAATTATTCATTTTTTATTTGCAGAATTTAACAATATATGGAAAGAAATTAAATTTAAGTTAAGCTTAGATTACAATAATGAAAAATTATTAGATGTAAACTAAATAAAAGCTGGGCAGCAAAATATTGAGATTGTTCAGCAGTTTTTTATCTAAATTATGATTTCTTTTCATATACATTAAGCCGAGGTATGTGTGGCAGACCGTATAACCATAGCAGAACACACAGAGCCGATCTAGTGATTTGTTTATAAATCCGAACGTAGAGTACTTACACGCCGTGTCTTTATTATCTCTAATAATAAATTAATTCATTCATTTCTCTTTTGACTTTATTTTAAATCGAAACTTTAATTTTCTTCCCGTGATGAATACTCAGATTAGTATATCCCTAATGCTCTATAGTGCAGACTGTAATTCAAGCGTCAAGTGTGCAGTGAACGGTGTGACTACTTATTGGTGTGTGTGCACATATAGGTGTATGTGGCTATAGAATGTGCCAGTGTTCAGGATATCTTGTAGTCAGACATGTCACTTGAGCATTTTTAGTCGATTCCTTAGTTCTTAGTCCTTTGGCATATCAGTATACCCTTTACTGCACACTTGGGAGGGGTATAGTGATTAGATGCTCTTGGCTTGTCTATGGCTGTAGTAACCATAACAACTTTCTAGTGAATGCCACAAACGGGCTGCTCATGGTTAAGGGTTGAGTATTGTACTACAAATTGCCATTGAATTTATAGCATTTTTTGCACAACTTGAAGCAAACTGAG